TGGGCCAACAGCAAGCACGTTTCGTGCGGTGAGACACCAACCCACTCTGGCCAGGTTTGCAGGTCCATGAGCCCAAGGTCCCTTTGGCAGGAGCCAGGTGTCCTGGCCCTCACTGCTGGAGGGGCTGTGCAACTGGTTCTTCACCGATGCGGTGGTTTTGGCTCACATGACCTTGTTCAGTGCCGGGCACTGCTCCCTGGGGGTCCCCACTGCAGAGGAGCACCCAAGGGAATGGTCCTACCTGAGTACAAGCTCCAGCACAGGTTCAAACAGCTCAAACTCAGAGGAATTCAAAGAGTTCTTGGTGGTCCTTGCTGGGGCACCAAGAGGGACAGTTTCCAGAGGAGGACATTGCAAACACCATGTTGCACTGCAGCAACTCACCTATGGTCCATCAAGTCTGCATTCGTCTGTGAAAGTAAAGAGAAAGCCTGAATCCGGTGCTGTGGTCTGACTAGCCCGATTTAGCACCCAAAATAGACAACCCAGAATGAACTTGAGCAAGGAGAAAGCCACAGTGTGCCAAGCCAGAGCACCTCTGGTTGCCAGCGCTCTCTCGTGCCAGCTCAGACCACAAAGTGGTGGCAGTGATAGACTGAGTGATCCCAGCCTGCAGGTCCCTGTATCGCCCCTGGGCAGTGCTCACCCTGCCTGGGTAGTATCCAGATCATCTCGTCCGTGAAGCCCTCCATCTTGGCAAACGTCTTGAACAGGTCTGTGATTCTGGGTCTCACCCACCGGGTTCTGCCTAAAGACAAAGACATGAGTTAGCTCCAGGATGTGCCTGTCCCTGCATCTTCTGGGCATCTGGCGAGCACAAGGATGGGATGCATGGCAGTCCCTGGAAGAAGGCTGAAGGCCACTGGTAGAGGTCCTAGAGAGACACATGAGACACCCCACCCAGGGGACAAGACAAGGCAGAGGTTCGTGTCCCTGCTGTTTCTGCCCCACCTTGCAGCAGAACTCCCACTCTTCACTCTGTTTCACCACACGACTTACCCAAGGCCACGGACTCCCAGCACAGTGCAGGAGCCTGAGCCCCAGCCTCCCCTCCACCCCAAATCGCTATTTCTTCCCTGCCACATGAGAGGCACACGGCAGCCCCAGCCTTGCTCCTGTGCCCCACCAGGGCAGAAGTGAGGAGGGGGTCTGCCCCCTGACTCCTGGCCTCTCAGGACCCTGCAGGCACCCTGACACCTCTGAGTGGTTCACCCCTGTTGCAGCACCGCTGGCTACGCACTGTAGAGTCTCAGCATATGCAAGATCTTCCCCTCCTTCTCTCTGGTGGCAAAGATAATCACATAGGTCCTGCCATCGGTATCCACCAGCTGTGCTGTCTTATTGCCTCTGTCTGCAAAAGGACATGGAGAAAAATTAATTACCTCCTCCTGGAAACCCCCATGCCGCAAAGGGGCTATAAGAGTGTAAAGCCCACCCAGTCTGTCTTTCCTCGGTGTCTCTCCGTCCTGGTTTTCCCTCTTGCTAAGGCTCCTCTGAAAGCCTGGGGGAGCCCACAGACTGCAGCAGAGCAGAGGGGTGGATAGGTGAGGGCAGGAAGGGCCAAGGATGGTCACTGCAGGCTGCTGGCCAGTGTCAGACTGACCCTTGGGGTGGGGATGGTGGGAAACAACCCCTTGCTTCATCCTCTGGGAACATTCACTTACAGCCCCTTGGCAGAATGAACCTGCTTTTCCCCAGGGTTTAAGCTGGGTGTGAATGTGTTTATCCCAGAGGGAGGATTTGGGGGGTTCTGCCATCTGCTGTGTCACCAGCCCTGACACGGACTGACCCTGGAGTGCAGCTGGCACCTGGACACAGAGGGATGTGGCACCCTGGACACAGAGGGATGTCCCACCCAGGACCCAGGAGAGGCAGGCAGTCCTAAGGGCCATGTCACCAGGAACAACCAGCTGCTTCAGACAGGGATGATGGGACGTGCCTCCCCGCTGCCCCAAGAGCCAGGCTCCGCCCACTCACCAGAGCTGTAGTATTCACCCGGAATGCTTGTTGGTTTGTAGATCGACTCAAATTTCATACATCTCCCTGGGCTGCAAAACAGGGAAGGATGCTCCAGCATGCAGTGAAGTGACTCCTTTTCCCTCCCCTGCTCTGGAGTAGCTACCCCGAAAGTGGGACTTGCTGTTCAGGGATGAGATGGTATGGAGGGGGGGGCAGGAGAGGATAGATACCACCACCCTTGGAGCAATGGGCACCTGGGCTGGCAGGGGACAGTGCTGGTACCTGGGGATCATCCATGCCCTTGTTCATGCTCTGAGCTTCTGGGATAAGGCTGGTACTGCCAGGAAGGTTTCAACCATAGGGTCCCTTATTACCCCTCTGCATCCCTCAGCAGTAGAGCATCCCACCCTCTGATGGGTCCTGCCTGGCGCTGCCCTGAGTCTGCCCTGAAGAAGGGGTGCCAACAGCCGTCCTGAGCCCCTAGTGGTCCTGCCTCACCCCCTGGTCAGGTCTTTGGTGGGTGCACTCAGGTGGGGACCCATCAATGAAGGTCAAGAGAGGAGGTTGGTCAGTGAAACCTGAAAGTAAAACATGTGGGACTTACGTGGGAATTGCAAAGGAGACCTTCAGGTCCTTCCCCAGGACCTCGATGCTGGCCATTGCCATCTTCAGCTGGTCCTTCCTTTGGAGGTAGCTCTCGGAGTCGGAGGCCATAGCAGTGATGTACCATTTCCCTGCAATCTGGTAGCAAGAGCAGACTGTGAGTCTGTGGGAGCAATTGGGAGTGTCACCTCCTCAGGGATCAAGGCAGGACACTCTCAGTCCATGGGACACCCACATCCCTTCCAGGCAACAAAGTCTCCTTAGGGACACTTATGCTGGAGCTGGGTGACCACCCTCACCTGGGTGTGACAGCAAAGCAATGGTGGCTGCAGTATCCCCAGCTGTTCCCAGTACCAAAACACCTCTACAGTCATCCCTGACTGCTGGTGACCAGAGTCCACCCTCCCACCTTCTGTTCCCGGGATGCTGCAGATCACCTTGCTCGTGTCCAACTCCCCAGCCTCGAGGTCCTCAGCCTCCACATGCAGCAAGCAGAGCAGGGCCAGGCCCAGGCTCAGCCCCACGGTCCTCATGTCACCTTAGCTCCTCTGGCTTCAGCAGTGGGATGAGGAGTGGTGCTGGGGCTGCCGCATTTATATCTCAGTGCTTCCCCCCCTCCCCCCACTCCGATCCACACACCCCGCTGCTGCATGCGGAGCCGCGGCAGCGCTGTTGGGATTGGCTTGGGCAAGGAACGGTGGGGGGGGGGAGGGGGGAGGGGATTCGGAAGGGCAGGAGTCAGCCAGGGGTGAACAAACCCCCGGGGCAGGGGAGAAGTGCCTGCCAGCCCCAAAACAGGGTTACAGGAACTGTTGCACCACTGCTGAAATTTGGGATTTTCCCCATTTCTTTAGTGGATTGTGAAAGAACAAAGCGAGCTGTTGTTTTCCAACTAGCTGCCGGAAGGCTGCTGGGAGGAGCAGGAGGTTCTTCCCGGCACAGGCTCCAGGGGCAGCACCATTACCCACCAAGGGGCACGGTGACCCGTCCTTCTGGCCAGGCTGGAACCTGCCCCGAGGCAGCCGCTGGGATCCTGCCAAAACCCAACCATCCACATGCTGCTGGCACAACCTGACTCGTGGTGCCTGCACGGGCTTCCCCGCCTGCTCTGCGGTGCTCAGGGCCTGCAAGGCAGGGTGCACCCGGAGCAGGGCAGGCAGAAGAACGGGTTCATGTCACTGTGAGACTGTGTCCCTCCTTCTCACAGTGTGATGTCCCCTGTGCCCCTGCTCTGTCAGGCTCCTGGGGTCACAGCCCCACACCTGCCTGGGCATTGAAGGACCCCCACCCTGAGGCAGGGAGGGAGTGGGAGGGACCAGGGCCTGCCTCCACTCCACAGGAGGCGGGAGTGGGATGAAAAGTGCCTGTGGGGCTCGTGTCAGCATGGTCCTACTTTGGTCAGTGGGCAGATGGGGGACCAAGGGGGGTGGCAGACAGGCATGGGTGTTCCAGGCCTGCCATGGGCAGCCATGGTGCAGCTTCACTCCCAGCTAGGTGGCCTGGGAGGGGACCGAGCAGGGAATGTGGTGTCCTGCATGTGTCCCTGCAGGCAGTGCTGGACAGCCTGACTGCTTAACACTGTCTGCCTGGAGCTGCTGCCCCCCCCCAGCCAAGCTGTGCCAACCCCTGGTCACCCCAGCTCCATTCTCCCCTACCCTGGCAGCTGCACCTTCCCCATCCCCTCTGCTCCCCATCCTCCCCATGTTGAGCACACCAAACATCACAGCACAGGAGCCCCCTGACACCCCTGGGGGGCTGACAGGAAGGGTCAGCTCCAGGACCACTGCACTCAGGGTGCCTAGGGACCCTGGCAGCAACCCTGCTCCCACCAACAAAGCACTGAGCTCTGGGACAGCTTCTGCATCTATTTATTTAGGAGATCGAGGGGTGATCCTGGTGTGGGGCAGGGGGTCCGGCAGAGTTCAAGTGGGAAGGATGGGAAGGGGGCACCACAGAGTGGGGATCAGAGCCCAGTGTCCACCAAGTCTGGAGGACACAACGGCCCTTTAGCTACAGAGACAGGATAGACAGACGAGTGGTTAGAGCAGGGCAAAGCTGAGGTGACGCAGAGGCAAAGCCGAGGCAGGTGGGGAGCCCCCAGTGCGCCGCGAGTGCCTGCTCAGCCCTGGCCATGCTGGGAGTGAGTCAAAGCTTCCCCTGGACACACTCACCTGATGGTCTTGGTGCACTGGTCTGTTGGAAAGCAAAGAGAGGAGTGAGTGTGCTGCTGAGTGAGGGCAGCACCCTGAACCCCCCCACAGTGTCCCCGTACAGAGGGGCCACATGTGCCACCCCGTGCCTTCAGGGCACTCACATGACTTGGGCAGGATGGCCAGCATGTCCTTGGTCAGGCCCATGGTGGGGATGAGCTCCGTGAACTTCTGCAGAAGCTGAGGACTTACATCCTGCTCCCTTGCTGCAGCCAGACATGCAAAATGGGGGCTGGTGAGTGCAGGGGGTCCTGGCAGCCAGCCCCACCCCAGGAGTCTAGCTACCACAGGGCAGTGATTGGGCCCCAGACAAGGGCTAAGGTGAAGCCATGAAGGTGCAGAGTGGACATCAGGCAACCCACAGTGCCCTGGGCTGGCAGCAAAGGGGCACAAGCCCCTTGGGATGAGTGACCCATCTGCCTGGGGTGCTTTGGGGTGGCTGGCAGGGTTGGGGGTCCACAGCTGGGCTGGCACACTGCAAGGAGGTCTGGTTCAACCCACAACCAACCAGAGATATCTTTGGTGAAAGGTTTCATTCACCCCAAAATTAATTCCCTGAGTACTGGACATTGGGTACTGGTGGTGGCCCTGGATGGTGGTGGAGAGCCCAGCCCCCACTCCCCATTGGTGCCCCCATCCCTTCTCGGAGCTGTGGGTGCCTGTCCCCGCTCCAACACCCACTGAGGAGCTGCAGCGTGGTGCTGGGCTCTCTCTCGCTGTGATGGGCCTCGTGCAGGATGGCATAGTGGTCGTAGTCTGTCTCCATCACGAGCAGGTCCCTCTTCTCTCGTGCTGCTAAAGGACACCAGAGGTGCCCAGTCGGGCAATGTGGTACAATCTGAGCCCTCCTGGGCCCCACTGCTTGAGCCCCAAAATTGCCTGAGGGGAGTATGAGGAGGGACCGACCCCCTGAGCGATGTGATGGAGCTGGGTGCCCACCCTCACCATGACCCCTTGCTGAGCAGAGAAGGCAGAGCAGCCAAGCCCACCTCCTGCTGCTCCCCAGGCATGGGGGGCTGGGGATGCCCACCCTCTGTTTCAGGGTACCCATGGCTCCGACCCACCTGACCACACGTACCCATGTAGTGCCCTGCCTGCCTGCTCTGCTGGAAGAGCAGCTCAAACTTTTGGCATTTGTCCAGCCTGGAAAAGGAATGTGGAAATGACAAACGTGGCTGGATGTCACGAGGGAGGGCAGTGGGGTGGCCCAGCCTGCCTGGGGCGTGTACTGGGGTTCAGGCAGGACTGGGCACCCTGGGGCGGTGGGTCTGGGGGAGCTGCCATGGTGGGGAGGAGAGTCCCTGGCCCACGGGGAATGCAGAGAGCAGGACAGACACTCACAGGGGCCAGACCAACTTCATGGCCAGATCCCCCTCTGGTGTGAAGTTGATGGTGGTGATGGACGACTTCATCCCATCCTTCATCTTCAGGAAGATGGAGCAGTTGGAAGCCGTGGCTGTGACATACCACATCCCTGCAAACTGCAGCACGACATCACCAGTGGGGTTTGGGAAAGCTGTGGGGACCTGCTACCTTCCAGGGGGACCTGTCCCCCACCTGGCAGCCTGTTGTAGGAATCTGCCAACTTGCAGTGGGGGACCTGCTACCCTCTGTGGCGACCAGCCAAAGAAACATGGCAGCCTGCTACCTTCACGCAGAACACCCTACCCTGCCCCATGCCAGGAGGGCAGGAGAGGCATCTGGTCCATGTTCCCTGGGGAAGTGCTACATGCTTGGGGACATCACAGCCTCAGGTGCTGGTGTCCCTTCAGTGGGGTCACTGCTGGTGCTGGACACAGCAGCCATAACTAACCCATTTTTTCACAGGCTCTCCTGGAAACTACCCTGGTGTCAGCTCAGGGATGAGACCAGGGGGTCCCTGGGGGTGCAGCAAAGGCCCCCTGCCCCACCCAACCCCTCCAGCCCAGGCAGAACGTGACTGGCAGCACCCTGTGCTGTTACCTTCTCGGTGTCGAAGTCTGGCTGCACGGAGACCTCGGCCCCTGCCCACAGCAGGCAGAGCAGGGCCAGCGCCAGGCTGGGCAGTGCCACCGTCATCCTCGCTCTGGGGGTGGATGTGGGCAGGAGAGGCTGCACCCACCTTGATAGCCCCCACTGCTGGCAGCACCCCTGCCTGCCCTGCCTTTATGCAACAGGTTATACAAGAGCAGGGATAACCTGTACCTGGGTTAGGTGACAGTGCTGGCCCTGTCCCCCCCAGTTGCCCAGTCCCGAATGAATGCAGCCTTGTGTGAAACCCTGGCCAGAGCATGCCGGGACTCGGTGCTGCCCCATGCCCGCTGCTCTGTCTGGGGAGGGGGGAGCTGAGTTGCCCCCAGGGCCCCCCTCGCAGCTGTTCCTGCTGGTCCCAGGGTCTGGCAGTGATGGGACAGATCCCACCTCAGGATCCTCAGTGCCAGAAGATGGTTGTGCTGGTGGTTTTAGCCCAGGTTGAGCCACAGCCTGGTGCCCCCAGAAGGGGTGGTGACTTCCCAGGCTGGTGGCAGCAGGCTCAGACCCCGCTGCTGGAGAGGGTCCAGGCTCATGGGATGGAGCCCAGGGGGGTGGTGAGAGCTAAGCCACATCCAGCCCTCACAGATGTCCTTTTGCTTCATGTCCATCCTTCCCCAAATTTTTGGAGACCTCCCTATGATTGCCTGTCATCCCATTCCCACACTGCCAGCCTGCTCTCCAGTAGGGAACCAAGGCAGGAAAGGTGAGGGAGCCCAGGATGCCCAAGGGGGCAGAGTGGAGCAGATCTCCCCAGTAGGTCCCAGCCTCAGGGACCCCTTTGCTTGGGACGGGGCATATTTGGTGGTCAGGCAGCACCGTAGTGTGGGGCTGCTAGTGCACAGAGGGCCCCAGCCCAGTGGCCCCATGGCCAAAAGCTGGGGTCAGCCCTGACACCAAGCCCCAGCCCCACCAGCCACACTTCCCCCTCCCCATTGCCCCACTGGGGCTTCCTCACAACAACTCAGCAGACGAGGGTTGGTTTTATGTGGGCTTTAATGGGGATGGGGGTACAGGTGTGGGGTGTGAAGCCAGGGAGCGAAGGCTGCTGCAGTGCTGTGGGGTGCACTGGGGTTGGGACGGGACAGGGTGGTCACCAGCTTGCGGCACTGTCAGGGCTCTGGCCGGCAGCAGCTGGTGGGATCACCTGGAAGAGATGGGGGGTGAGCACAGCTGAGCTGTGGGAGACAGGGTGACACATGCAGGGACGTTGGCCCGGCCAGCCCCACACTGAGTGGGTGAGCACACACCACCCAGGGCCTGAGGCACCCCACAGGGTCAGGATGGGGAATCCCTCATAGGGGTAAGGAGAGGAACAGCCTGGGGAAGGGCTGGCGAGGGCTCTGTGGGATGCAGTGGCTCTGAACACCCCTGACCCTCCCTCAGGGCTGGTCTGACCCCCAGTGAAGGCAGGACTTACCTAGGCAGCATCTGTCATGCATTTGTCTGTGCGGGGAAGAAAAGGGGAGATCGTCCTCAGCCCCCTCCGAGGGACCATGTATGGGGGCACCCCATGGCTGGCCCCACACTGAGGCAGGAACAAGCCAGGAGGTTCTCCTCCCTCTCAGCCCCCTTGGGGTATCTCACCCCCTGCTCCCCACAGCCTCCAGCCTCACCTGTCTGGGGCAGGATGAGGATCTCATCATCTGTCAGGCCCTGCTCCCTGGAGAACTGGGTGAACCTCTCCAGGCGCTCAGGACTCAGCTCCTTGGTCCGGCCTGCAGCCGAGAGCAGGGTGAGGGGCAGCCCCACCATACCTGCCAGCATGGGGGCACGGGAAGCCCAGCAAGGGGGTCCCGACCCAGCCATTATCCCAGAGGTCACCCCAGCTTGGGAGACGGTGCTGCCCTTCTCCCGTGGGAGAGAGAGAGACATTCCAGGAAGTCCTGGGGGGTGTACAGCATGGGGGCGCAGAGCAGACGTACTGTAGAGCAGCACCATGGTGGAGGGGCCGGTGCTCTTGGAGATCTGGGTGGCCACCAAGGCGTACTCCTCGTAGTTGGTCTCCACCACACGGATGTCATGCTTGCTGCCCCAGCCTGTGGGGGACAGGGGAGCATGGCTCAGCCCCAGGCTCCAAATCTGCCCCAAGGCAGGAGTAGGGACAGTGACAGCAGGGCTGCCCCATGGTCAGGGGGCACTCACGGGTGCTGGTGTAGCTGAACCGCCCCGGCTGCTCCGTCTTGGTGTAAAGGCTGTTCCTCGTCACACACTGGTCACCCCTTTGATCACACACAGCATGAGCACAGCACAAGGATGTCAGAGTGGTGGGGCGATGCACCAGTGCCTCCCCCCCTCGCACCCCCTCCCCACTCACCCCCTCCCCATGCCCATACTTGGGGTAGGTGGAAGTGACTTCCAGGTTTCCATCTGCAGTGGTGGAGATGATAGTGGTGCACATCTTCATTAGGTGCCTCTTCTCCTTGAACCAGTTAGAGTCGGAGGCCAGGCCAATGCTGTACCATCTCCCTGTGAGCTGCACACAACCTCCACTCAGCCCCAGCTGGGTGCAGACCCTGTCTTGCCCCTCAGCCCCCCACCAGCCCCAGCCCAGGCCATGTCTCTCTCCCCTGGCAGCCCATTCCCCACAGCAGGATGGCGTCCTGAGGTCCTCATTCCCAGGGAGCTGCTACAGCTCTTGGTAACCACAAAACCCAGAGGCCAGGAAATCCCTGTTTCATGACGTGCCCTTCACTGCCCAGCACTTGGGTGTTTCCTTCCTCTTTGCTCCAAGACTGGGGAAGGTGACAGGACTGTCTGGCTCCGAGATGCCATTTCGGTCCATCTGGGGGCTCAAGGAGGGGTCAGGACCCTGAGTCCAGCATGGCTCATCCTAGCCCAGTCCCTGGGGCCAGCAGCATGGTGCCCTCCAAAGGGAACTGCCAGCCTCGGAGAGGGGCTGTGCTGGGATCACCCTTGCAGGACATCCCAGATGCCTACCCTTGCAGGAAGTGCCTCCATCCCCATCATCCCCCTCAGGTGGCCGTGGCCCCCCAGGACCCTTCCTGAGGCAGAGCGGTGTGTGAGACACCTCAGCAGAGCAGCCCTTGTTTTTTGGGGGCCCTTGGCTGGGGTCTCTGTCAGGGAGTAGTTTCCATGGCCCATCTCCATGCTTACTCTCAGACTGAGATTGCTTTTCTCAGTCTTCTCTGTAAGACTCTTGAATAATCACACCCATTCTACAGCACAGCAGCAGTTCAGACCCACATCTAACCCATAGTTCTGCCCCACAGGCTGGAGCTGAGATGCTGGATCCCCTCCAGAGCCACCAAAACCAGGTATTGGGAAGTCCTCAGGATGGGGGGCTGTGTGGGCACCAGTGCCCTGCCCTCCCAGTGTCAGCCTGGCCCCACATCCATCTGCACCACCCTCTCCACACATTTTCAGGGCAAGAATCCCCCAAAACACCCCAAACCTCCACGCAGGTGATGCCTGCTGGGATGGGTCACCTTGTCCTGCTGGAAGTCGGCTTGGATGGGAATGCTGTCCTGGGCATGCAGTGCCCCAAGCAGGGCCAGCCCCAGGACGCTGAGCAGCGTGGCCTGCATGGTCGAGCCGAGCCGAGCTGAGCTGAGCCGAGCCAAGCAAGAGCTGGAGGCAGAGCGCTGCAGTGCTGGAGAGTCCGTCGAGCCCCTATTTATGGACAGGCGGTGCAGGGGCCCCCGCGAGGGGCCAACCCTGCCTCCCCCCGTGCCGTTATGCAAGCTGGAGCAGGGCTGAGCGCCGAAGCCAAAGGGCAGGCAGGGGATCCTGAGAATCCAGCCCTCCTGTTGATATGACGTGTTTGCTCCGGGGAGCCAAACTCCTCCGCAATGAAAACAGCCCGCGGCCGGAGCGGCGGCCATCCCTGGCCCCAGCGGTGCGGGGCCGGGGCAGGCAGCTGGGGCTGCCCATGGGCAGGGGCCGGGGCTGCCCAGTCTGCACAGGGTAGCCTCACCTGGACTCAGAAAGGGGCTCCAGTGAAGTGGAGGGAATGTCCAGTGCCTGCCAGGTCCCAACCCGACCCATGGGACTTGGGGACACCTGCGCGTACTCCTGTAGGAACCCCTGCTTTGCCCCGACTCAAGTCCCTGCATCACCCAAGGAAGCATCTGGGCTGGCCTCAGGACCCTTGGGGTGTGTCCCACCAAGGTGCAGCTCCGGTTCATCCCACTGGCAAGTTGGGGAGCCCAGATGCTCAGCTCCACGGGGACCAGAATGCAGCCAGATGGACCCCAGAGTTTCACACCCCACCCACCCCACCACTCTGCACCCTTTGCCAAGAGGGGCTGGAGATGCCCTCCCCCTTGGTTTGGGGTCACCAGCAGGCGCTGAGATGTCCCCCCTTAATCTGGGGCCCCCTCTGCAGAGTGAGGGCAGGGGATGTATGCTGGGTGCCAGCAGCAGCACCTGTGGGTATGGCAGGGTTTGGGCAGGGCTGGCCATGCCGGGCAGAACCCCAGCCCCGCACGGCCCTGCCAAGGTGCTTTACGTAAGGAGAATGTTTTCACAACAGCTGTTTTTCCCCTGGCAGGCCCCCCTGTACATTCCCTTCCCCACGCCCCGCTGTGAGGCCGCTCTGCCCTGTGCACCCCCGCGCCTGCCCGGCCCCATGGATTTATGAAAACAAAACAAAAGCTGAGCCAGGCAGGACTGAGCATCACAAGAGCCTGGCTGGGGCCCTGCATGCTGGGCTAGGACTCAGCCTCCCCAGGGGGCTCTCTCCATCGGGCACAGAGGTAGGGAGCACCCAGGGGTGTCACTGTCACCCAGCACCGCAGCAGGAACACAAAGTCGCCCCTGCTGCCTGGGTACCCCCAGCTCCCTGCCCAGGTGGCAGCAAGGGGTGCCTGATGGATACTTGGGTGATGCCCACTCTCCCAGCTCTCCTGGGTAGGCCAAAGCTGGGAACCAGCCCAAGGACCTCAGTGGCAATGCTGGGTGCAAGCTCTGGAGCATGGGGGCAGGTGGGGCCATGTGGGGGCAAAGGGGGCACTGACAGCAGCACGGCACAGGATAAGCAGAGCTGGGGGCAGGATGGAGTATCCAGGCTGTGGGTCCCCACAGTGGCTGGACACAGACTCTTGGACACAACCTGGGTGTTAGCCCCCACCTCAGCTGGGCTGAGATGGGACAGTGGGCACAGGACGTGTGGGCTCCTTGGGGACCAGCCCAGCTCCCCAGGGCTCTCCCCTTGCCTCCAATTGCCCTGCCACAGTGCAGCCACCCTGGGGTGCAGGTGGGCACAGGGCAGAAAGTGAGCTGGATCCACCACACCAGGCTCTGCCAGTCTCAGGTGGTGGCCTGGGGGGGGTCTAAGAGCATGGCTGGACACCGCTATGAGTGTGGGACACCACGTGAGTGGTGGGAACAGGGCTGGCTCTGGGCACATCACGTGGCGTCCCTTACATAATTCCCTGATAAACAACATGTGTTACCAGTTCCCGCTCCAATTGCAAAACACCAGTGCTGGGGGCAGAGGGCTGCTGCCTGCCCCAGGGGCTGTGGAGGGCTGGGACCCCCCACCTGCCTGCTGTGGGGATGTTCCCCGTCCCCTCCCGAAGCCAATGGCAATGGGCACCACTCGCCAGGCTCCACACACAGGGAAGAGGGGTCCCACACGGGGTTGCAGAATTAACCCTGCGGCTCTCCCCTAATTGCACCCCTGGTCCAAGCCCTGCCAGACCCCCCAGCCTGGCTCTCCAAGGGGTGCTGGCTGTGTGGGCAGGGGTTCCCCTCGGGGAACGCGCTCCACAGGGCTGGGGCAAGGGAATGGGCTGTTTCCCTGCCCTGGAGGCCCTGGAGATGGGAAGGAGAAATGCTGTGAGGCTGAGATTTCCTCCTCTGGGGTCCCTGAGGGATATCTCAGCTTGTTGGGGGAAAAGGCAGATGCTGTGCTGGTCCCCAGTGCCCCCCAAGTCTGTACCTCCCATGGCGCCAGGCATGATGCTGTTGCCCTCAGTGCCGGGTGCTCCCTCGCCCCCAGCCAGCCAGACCCACGTGCCCCACATCCCAGGAACCACCACAACTCCTGCCTCGCTGTCCCATAGCTGGGACAGGGCTCAGGGAGAGGATGAGGGGGGTGTTTGGAAGGGGGTTGCATGTCCTCCAACACCCCCTTGGGACCCACCCAGGTGGGAGCACATCTCCAACTCAGAATATTCCGTGATGCTGTGATTCCAAGGCACTGGCAGCCCAGGATGGAGGCAGCGCTGGCCTGGCTGGGGCAGACCAAGAGGTGACTGGCCTGGACAAAGGCTCTTCTCTGAGGTGTTTATTGGGGTGTTGCTGGCTCCTGCAGGACAGTGGTGCACAGAGCACAGGGGTGACACAAACTGAGAGGGTGCAGGACCAGGATGGATGCAGCTGCCAGCACAGCTGGAGGCACTGGAGAGCCCCAGAGCTGGCTCCAGGGCTGTGGTGCAGCAGAGGAGGATGAGCAAAGCACGGCTCAGACCCACGTGGCCATGGGCAGCTAAATGAGGTGAGGGGTGAGCTCTGGGGAAACCCCGGCAACTCCATCTGCACCTACAGCTTTGTTTCTGGAAGGAAGAGAAGTGCTGAGGGGCTGGGGGGTGTCCAAGCCTAGCACCTGGCCTGGAGACTCACCTCTGCCTTCCCAAGCACCAATGACAAGTGATGGAGCTGTCTCCAGGGACCCAGCCTTCAGCCCAGGGTGTCCCTGTGCCAGGACACCCCATCCCAGACCATCTCGGGAAACACCAATATAGACCCATCAAGCCCAGTGTGAGCCATGTAGGGGTTAAATGGGGTTTGTTTTGCCAGGATGCACCTCATGCCCACCCTGGGTGACTCTGCCACCTCCTCACCCCACACAAAGGCACAGAGAGACCCTGTCCTGAGGGACGGTCTGACATGGCTACCCCCTGCCAGGCCAGCGCCTCCATGCTCCTGGGGCAGGACCACACAGCTGTGGTGTGGTGTGGGTCTGGCCCACTGTGCTCAGCCCCCAGCCAGGACAGGCACGCCCCACTGGTGCCCAGTGTGGGGCCAAGCCTAGCACATGGGGGTCCCAGTGCACCACCCAGGATCCCCAACTCACCATCCAGGACATGAAACTCGTCTGCGGAGTCGCAAAACCCTGCAAGAGACAGAGCCTGGGGGGGTCACCCTCCCTGGGACCTGGCACCCCCCGCCCTACACCCCCAGGACACTGTGAGGCACAGCCCTGGTCCTTGCATCTCTGCCCCTGGGGTGGCCACAGCATGAGGACAGACCCCACATGTGCCCCTGCTGTGGGGCCATGAGCTGCTCAGACCCCTGGGGATGTACCTCCCCCTCCCCACACTGGAGGGGCTGGACCCCAGCCCCTGATGCTAGGCCCTGCCCCTGGGTGCAGCCACCGCCACGGGGTCCCCTGCTCCCCAGGGACCAGGTGCTACTCACCGTAGGTGGGGAAGTAGTAGGTCACATCCTCACTGAGACCCACAGCCCTCACGTGCTGTTCGAACTTGTCCGCGACGGCGTCGCTGACCCGGCTGGTCCGTCCTGCATGGGGGGAGACACTGCCAGCGGCCTCGGGCCCTGCCTGGCCCTGTCCCAAAGCCCCCTGTGTCCCTTCGCAAAGCTCAGGGCCCTGGGGGTCTTTCAGTTCACAGAAGTGGGTTTCTAGTTCCCCCCTTACCAGCTCCCCCTTCAGCCTTTGGGGACAACTGTCCAGCTGGGGAGTGACCTTCAGGAGACCCCATTCGCATGTTTGGGTCCTCTGAGGCTCCAGCTGCCATCCCTTGAGCCCAGCATGGGTTTCCCACCCCTGTCCTTCACCTGCCACAAGCCCCTGAGCCTTGACCCACCATAGAGCTTGACAGAGACGCTCCGGCCCTTCTGGTAATAGAGGATGGCAAAGCTGCTGGGGTCCATCTCACCCACCACCACATCCACCTTGCTGCTGTGCCCATGGCCTGGGAAGGACAGAGGAGAGCCCAGTGAGTCCTGGTTAACCCTGCTTAGCCCTGGTACCATGCAGGGCATTGTTTCATCATAAACCAGGTGTACCAGGGGTAAAAATCAGGGCCAGAATGGGGCAGCCCCACAGGCACCATTGCTCCCCCAGGAGGCACCAGCCCATGGTATCACCCGTGATGGTATCTGGCACCTAGAGATCCCAGTGGTAGGATACTGAGAGGGCATTGGGAAGAGGGACACTGGTACCAAAGCCCTGCCCAGAGGAGCAGTGGGGGGCTCCAGCAGCTCCCCTGCCACCCCAGCCTGGTGTCCCTCACCCTTCAGCAGGAAGCGTCCAGGGGCCTGGGCAGGGAGGTAGCGCTGCCTGATTTCCCAGCACATCCCATCCCTGCACGGGAAGACAAAGAGATGTCAGCACAGGCTGGGGAGGATCCCCCCAGGTCTCTGAACGCCCTGCCTGCCAGGGCACACATGCTGTTTCCTTGGGACTTTGTTTCCTCCCCAGGGAAAGAGATGTCCCAGAGCCCTGTCAAGACATTGTGAGAGATGCTGAGCCCCAAAACCTGCTGAACTTGAGGGGGTCCCTGCCCCGTCCCTGTAGCACTGAGCCTGGTCAGCCCCTCAGGGCCTGTCAGGCCGGGGGAAGCGCCCACAGATGTGAAGATCCCTGTCTTTAGCTCTGCTGCCCCTGGGGTGGCCCCAAGAGCCAGTCCCAGGCTGGCCTGTGGAGGCACCCCGTGCCTCAGTTTCACCAGCCTGCCTGTCCCTAACCCTGAGCCCACCCCAGGCCAGTGGCTGGGGGTAGCAGGGTGACCACTGTGGCCAGGGCTTCTACTACAAAACTTCACAGAGGGGATCCCACCCACACTTTGCTCTGGGGCAGCTCTGTCCTCCTTGGAGCCAGCGGCCAGGGCACTAGCACTGCTCTGACTTGCCTGCAGAGTTCCCATTCCACCCAGCGTCCCCCGCCCCCATCCCAGGGCACCGGTCCTGCTGTGACCTGCCTACAGCACCCCTGTTCCTGCCTGTGGCCCCCCTGCCCACTGTTACTCACAGCTTCCTGAGGGTGCTGATGGCCAGGCTTTGTCCGTCCAGGACGGTCACCATCACTGTCGTGGCCTCCAGCTGGTGGCTATGCTCTGCCAGGTGGCTGCAGCGGGAGGCCACGCTGACCAGGAACCACATCCCTGCGAGCTGCATGGCACAGGGGTGGCACCATCTACAGAGCCATCAGCCCAGGGTGCCCCCACTCACCCTGAGCACCCACTGTCCCCTCACTTGGCACCTCTGCCCACAGCCTGTCCCTTGGGGTGTCCCCAGGACACGACTGCCCTTTGTGATTGGATGGGTGGGATGGCAGGGCAGAGAGAAGTCTGGCATGGGGATAGGCTGGGGGCTGTGTGGGGGTGTCTAAGGCACCTGCCCATGGGGCTGTGGGCACCCCCGTCCCACCCTGGGTGTGTGCTGGGTCTCACTTTATGCTGCAGTCCAAGCTCACCCCAAGCCTCAGAGCGACGACGGCTGCACCCACAGCCGGGGTCTGTCTGGGCAAGCACGGGGGTCCCTCCGAGGCTCCGGCCCCTGCACCTGCCTCGTGGGCAGCCCTGCGGGCAGTGCTGGGGCTGAACTGGGCTCTGCCACCCCTGCTGTGTGTACGGGCTTGAGTTGGGGGACGGGCTGGGAGGCTGAGTCTGGGTGGGCACTGGGGGTCAGCCCTGGAGGGGAACAGAGGGGAACGGGAGCCCCCACACTCCCTGCAGCCCCCCCCCCACTGCGGGGTCCCGGCCCAAACCCTCACCTGGGGGAGGCTGAGCCCCTCCTGAGCCGCCACCTTGTCCAGCGGGCTTTGGGCAGGGGGCGGCCGCCGCCGCCTCGGCCGCTGCCCCCGCGCCGTGAGGAACAGCCCGAGGAGCAGGAGGGCGCGCAGGGCCGCCATTAGACGCTGTGCTGGGAGGCGGCGGGGCAGGCGGGTACGGCCGGGGGGACAGGACAGGGGTCAGGGCCGGGGTCAGGACCGGAGGCGGTGCCCGCAGCGGGACCCGAAGGAGGGACCAGGCACCGACCCCGGGGCCCGTCCCGGGGTGGGCGGAGCCTGTTCAGGCGGGGCGTGACAGGGCCGACGGGGCGGGGCCTGGCTCAGAGGCGTGGCCTGGTCAGGCCGGGCGGGGCAGCGCTGCGGCCGCGGGAGCGATCGTGCCGCGCTCGGCTCGCTACACCTGGCGCACGGCGGGGAGCTCTGTGTTCGATCTGTCGGGGCTGCGGCGGGACGCGGCGCCCTGATTGGCGGGCGGGGGCGCGCCCGGAGCGGCGGCCGGAAGTTGGGGGACGGGGCGGGGGCAGCGGAGCCGCCGAGGTGCGGAGGGGGACCGGGAACACGGGGAATACTGGAAACGGGGGGGACCGGGAATACCAGGAACGGGGGAGAACGGGGACAGCGGGAACGACACGGGGGGACTGGGAACACCGGCAGTACCGGGAACGGGGGGGAACGGGGACAGCGGGAACGGCCCAGGAACACGGAGAATACCGGGAACGGGGGCACAGCGGGAACTGCACGGGGGGAACGGGAATACCGGGAACGGGGACACAGCGGGAACTGCACAGGGGGAACGGGAATACCGGGAACGGGGACACAGCGGGAACGGCACGGGGGGAACGGGAATACCGGGAACGGGGACACAACGGGAAGTGCACGGGGGGAACGGGGATACCGGGAACGGGGACACAGCGGGAACGGCACGGGGGGAACGGGGATACCGGGAACCTGGACACAGCGGGAACGGCACGGGGGGAACGGGATACCGAGAACAGGGGGGGGACGGGGATACCGGGAACAGGGAATACCGGGCACGGCACGGGCGGGCCGAGGGCCTCTGCGGTCCCCGTCCCCTGACCTCGCACCCCGCTCGGCCCCAGCGCGGCGGCAGAATGACACGATGGCCGCAGGCGGGCCCCGGCTGCCGGACACCGTCCTGTTCGAGATCTTCCTGTACCTGGACCACGCCGACGTGCTCTCGGTGGGGCTCGTGTGCCAGCAGTGGCGCGCCGTGGCCCGCGACGAGTTCCTGTGGAAGGAGCTGTTCTACCGCTACTACCGCGTGTCCCGGGACGTGCCGCGGCACCCGGGTGAGCGGGGAGCACCTGCCCTGAGCCGGGAGGAACACTGCGTCCCCCCACCCGTGGGGGGGCATGTGGCCCTGTGATGGCACTGGGGGCACATGCTGAGGCAGCAGCTGCCCCACTGTGCCTGGGCAGGTGGGGCTCGATCTGGGCTCACAGCAGGAACTGAGGGAGCCCCACAAGGCCATCCCTGTCCAAGCTGTCAGAGGGCTCCAGGGTGGCAGTCATGTTGTCACAGCTCTGCTCCCTTTGAGCATCCAGTGCTGGAAGCAGTCTGGTGCAGTCTGGAACGGCGGCTGCACTGTCAGACGCTGGGACAGGCCTTGGGGACCTGCCAGCAGGAACCCCCGCTGCCGAGGGCAGTTTCTCTCAGAGCCCAAGCAGCCTGTTCCCAGTATGCTGCAGGGGGCTCCCAGCAGTGGCTGGGGGAATTGGGTCCTGGATCGGGAGTTGCAGTGGCTACAGAAGAAATGCCAGGAAATACAGGAAGAAATGCCAGGGATCAATCAGCAGGAGCCCATCTCCCTGCACCAGGAACACCAGAGCAGAAGGGCTCTAGGGAGAGGTGGGATGTGGATGGGATGACTCAGGCTGCATGACCTTGGGAGTTCTATGGGGCTTAGGACATTCTCTTAAAGGGTTTATCTGAGACTCTTTGACCAGCCTTGTTCCCTCCCAGCCTCCTAGAGCTGGTTAGTCAGCTGCCAGCCCTGTTGTTGAGCACTAATTAGGATGGAGCAGTTGGTGTAGCTCAGTAACATATTCAGGCACCTCCCTGGCTGCTGGAGCTATAGGCACCCTCCATGAGGCAGAAGGACAGGGACAGCTGGCAGGCCTGGGAAGGGAGTTTGGTGAATACTTCTGCCAGCTTGCTTGCACTGGGCAGCTCCACAGTTGGGGGAACGGTATCCGGTGGGTCTTTAAGAGGAAAGGTTGGGGTTGCTTGGCCAGGTGGGGCCTGTCCAGGCTGTTTCCCAGCCACATGGGCTGGGCCCGGGAGGTTCAGAGGAGCCTGAAGTGCCCAGGCTGCGAGCAGCAGTGGCATGTGCTGGTATCAGCTGGTCCCTTCCTCTAGGACCAGATGTCTCCCGGGCTGCAGCACGTTCCAAAAAATCCTTCAGTCCTGTTCAGTGTCACTAGGAAAGTTGGCCCTTATCCATATACATGCCTAATCCTCTTTGCTTCTTTGGGATTTGCTGCTGCAAGAAGTTTGTAGGCTGCCTGGCCAGGCCCTTTGTTAAAAATCTTCTTTATTTGTCTCTTCACTGGCTGTCAGTGGGACTGCTGTGAGTGTACCCCAGGCTGTGCTGCTGCAGGGCTCCTCCTCTCCTGGCACGCTCTGTCCAGCTCCCGTTCTTCTCTCTCATTCTTTCAAGTCTCTCATCTCATGGAGATGTTTTTTTTTTCTGGTCCCAGACCCTTTCTAGAACTGTCTTAATTCTGCATTAGACAAGACAGAGATAATCAATGCGGAACCGAGTATGTGAGGAGCAGCTTCCCAGCTTCCCTCCCTGGTTAGTTTGATTGTGCTGGAGCATGTCTCCCTTCGGAGGACTGTTTTATCCTGGGCAAGGTTTTGGTCTGACAGCCAGCAGCTCTGCCCTGGCTGTTTCAGCAGGGTCTGTGCTGGTTTGGAAGGTGTGATGTGGAGCTGTGTCAGTACTGGCAGAAAGGCTTTTTTTTGGGGGGGGGGAGCGGTTAGGGAAGCTACTGAGGAAATTGGTGAGTGCTGGTAACTCAGCTGCAGCCATGGGTTGGTGCCCCAACAGAGCTCCTAGCATTGCTCACAGGAGCTAGGACTGGTTTATTAAAGACTGATGCCGTGTTTAGCCCAGCTCTGTGCTTCCCTCCGCTCACACTCCTGTCCCGTGTCCCTGCTCTGTGTTGCAGCTGCTGTCTCCTGGTATGATGAGTTCCAGAGGCTCTACGACACCATCCCTTGCGTGGAGGTGCAGGCCCTGAAGGAGCACAATGACCAGGTTTTGCACCTCAGCTTCTCGCACTCTGGCTGCCTGTTTGCATCCTGCTCCAAAGACTGCACAGTCAAGGTAAAGTGGCAGGTGCCCTGCCCAGCCCTTCCAGATGTGGTTTCAGTGGGACTTAGCCCTGAGAGCAGCCTTTGGGAAGGTTGTGGAGAGGAGAGGTTTGACCAGATGTCCCTGGACTCAGGCTGGCTTCTGCAGATGCTGAGCTGTTCTCAAAGCCACAGAACTAATGACTCTTGCAAATGTAGCCTTGAGGGGTGTGGATTCCAGCTCCAGCCCATTTGTGTGGAGGTAGCCAAAGTGCCTGCCTGGTGCTTTCTAGGTGGAAATCAGTGCCCTGTTGTGACCTGGATCTGACAAGGAGTGGGGAGATAATGATCCACTACAATAGATGTCTTGCATAAGTGGTTGTCCTGGGAGAAATCTCTCTGAACACGTTGGAAACCCAGCTGTCACAGCAACATTTACTACCTGAACACCTGCTCTGACCAATGGAGCAACAGTTCTCCATTTAGCCCCTCCAAATTTTCTGTCAGGGAAATGGGGAGTTCTAACAGGAATATGGGGACTGGGAGGCAGTTAAATGGGGTTTGTGATATTGTTTGTTTTTCATGTCCTGGTGAGTGCTGGCAGAACAGATAAAGTGGAACCACTCTCAGGCTTCTCAGCAGTTTCCTTCCTGTTTGTCCATTTCTCTGTAGATCTGGAGCAATGAGCTGGACATCTCCCTGCAGCACAGCTCCAACATGAGACCATACAACTGGAGCTACACCCAGTTCTCCCAGTTCAACTCCGATGACTCCCTTCTGCTGGTATCTGGTGTCTTTGTGGGGCCTCACAACTCCTCCTCAGGGGAGATCGCTGTGATCAGCATGGGTAAGTGCTGCCTTCACTAGGGCTCCCAGGAGGGGTGAGTGCTGGGTGCTGGGCTTCCCTTCTTCTTAGGGTGTGCAGTGGCCTTCACCTCAGCTTGTCCTGACACCCAACACCTGAACTAAAGGGTTCCAATCACAGTTTTGGAGGGGAAGCCTTACAGACAGCCTTAACTCTGCTCGGGTCACCACGACAGCACCTCAAGGCAGCGTGGCTTGTATTTACTCTCACTTAACTTCTGTCCTACATGACAGTCTGGCAAGGCTTATCCACCTTACTTGTTGTTTTGAAGCTCCTATTTCTGTCTCGTGTGGTGCTAGGCATAGAACCATAGAACCCCAGAACAGTTTGGGTTGGAAGGGACCTTAAAGTTCATCTCGTTCCACTCCCTGCCATGGGCAGGGACACATTCCACTATCCCAGGTTGCTCCAAGACTTTTCCAACCTGGCTTTGAACACTTCTAGGGATGGGGCAGCCACAGCTTCTCTGGGCAACCTGTGCCAGGGCCTCACCACCCTCACAGGGAAGAATTTTTTCCCAATATCCCATCTGCCCTCTGTCAGTGTGAAGCCATTCCCCCTTGGCCAGTCCCTTCAGACCCTTGTCCAAAGTCCCTCCCCAGCTCTCTCGGAGCTTTTTTAGGCACTGGAAGGGGTTCTAAGGTCTGCCTGGAGTCTTCTCTTCTCCAGGCTGAACACCACCAGCTCTTTCAGCCTGTCTCCAGAGCAGAGCAGAAGTGCTGGATACAGCCCTCAGACCATCTTTTTGGGGCCCTGGTTCCACCGTTAAGTCTCACATGGCTTTCTGAGGGGCTGTCACCTGAGCCTCTTTCACCTCTTCTGCTGCAGCCCTGTGCATGTGGCTAATCCCCACTGAATTATCTTTCACCATCTCTGTGCCACAGTCCCACTGTGCCAGGAATCAGGAGTGCACAGCTGCCTTGCTGGGAAAGGCCCTGAGCACTGGGAGTAGGAGTGAAATTCCATGTGTGTTTAACTCATTCTTGTCCCCTGGGCCCCGCTCAGGGAAAGGCTGGGAGATTGGACTGCTCTCTGCTCTGGCTCTGTCAGGCTGCCCTGTTGTTTTGATTTCCCTTGTCAAGGTCTCATCACACATCTCTCTAGAAAAGAGAAATAATGTGTCTCCTTAGCAGTGGCTTGAAGCTGGATGGAGGTTAGCAGTGCTGCCTCAGTGCCTGTCCTGCAGAGACCTGTCCTGTAGACAGGCCCTGTTTATCCAGGGCCCTCGCTGGGAGTCATCGCCTCACACTTATGTTTCCCCTCTCTTCCAGAGAACTTCACACTGCTTTCCAGGGTGAGGAATAAACCCTACGATGTGTTTGGCTGCTGGCTGAATGAAACCAACTTGATCTCAGGCAATCTGCATCGGATTGGGCGCATAACCTCCTGCTCGGTGCTGTGGCTGAACAATGCTTTCCAGGTGAGCTGCCTTCCTTCCAGCTCCACAGGCAGTGCAGCTTCCTGCTGGCTCCTGGGGGAGGAAAAGCTGCAGGGAAGGATGGCCCAATCCTCCTGTCATCCCTGTTTGTCTCCTCTGACTTGTCCTCAGGATCCTGAGCTCAAGGCAACCCTTGCATGAGGCTTCTCCACGCTTGGTGTCATGGTATCCACTGTAATATTCTGACTCTGCCCTCAGATCCCATTGACTCTTGCCCCATTAATTAGGCTGAGGACTTGACTGCAGTGCCCCAGAGCATGCATTGCCTAACAGCAGGGCTGCTAAGGTCCTTGGTAGTCTGAAGCTGGGCCTGGGATGGCTGTAGCCTGGCATGTGTCCTAACAATGGCCTTTCTCCCACTTGGTTGCTCAGGGTATTTTTCCTGGGAGCTGGAGCAGCCTGAGCTGATCTCAACCCTGCCTGGTCTTGCTGAGGTTTCTCAGGCCAGGTACTGTCTCTGATGCCATGGTGAGACCTGGAGAGCCATGTGTGCTGGCCTTAGACTGCTTGTTTATTCCCTGGCACTTGGCAGTCATGTTCCTCTTCCATGTTTGCCCTGTATCTCAGTGTCACAGCTGCATGTCCCCATTTTTTGTGTTTTTAACGTGGTGCTGACCCCAGGTGAAATCTTCTGGTAGCAGAGACTCTTCCCACAGCCACATCTCCATGCTGCACTGACCATGCAGCATTAGCCCTTCCATCCCTGAGAGGCCAAAAAGGTCCTTGCCCATGATGGGGGTGTGGGAGTGCAGATGCAGGCTGAGAGCAGTGAGGCAGGGAGGGACCTGCTGCGTCCTGCTGCGGGCTACAGGCATACTCCAGGAGCACGGGGGTCCTGTGCCACTGCTGCTGTGAGCTAGAGGGATCCTACTTCATGCCTTTTGCAGAGACCTTGTCCTGAAATCCTTGTAGATTATAGAACGTAGAGTATCCTGAGTTGTTAGGGATCCACAAGGATTGAGTCCAACTCCTGGCCCTGCACTGTAAAGCACCAGTTAGCACCAGCTGATGACCTCAGGCTGGGATGGCAGCAGGGCTGCCCAGCCTCTGTGCTTCCCAGCTCCACTGTTGCCTGCCTGCAGGAATGTTTTGCCTCAATATGTCTCCATCCAGGAGAGGAAGGAGCTCAGCAGAGCTGGCAAGCCTCGAGCCAGTTCTTGTGCCAGTGCTCCACATGCAGTGTGAAAGGGTCGGTGGCAGCTGGTGTCCCTGCTCTGGCTCAGGTCTTGGTTTGAACTGTGGGAGTGAAGTGGGGTGGTTCTTGCTCACTTCTCCCCTCTGCCTGTAGGGCATCGAGTCTGAGAACGTGAACGTAGTGAAGAGACTGTTCAAAATCCAGAACCTGAACGCCAGCACCATCCGGACCGTGATGGTGGCTGACTGCAGCCGATACGATTCCCCGGACCTGCTCCTGGACTACGAGGAGCAGCTTGCTGCTTCCTCCACCTGCCCAGTCTTTGATCTTGGCAGTGACAGCGAGGAAGAAGAGGCCAAGCCCAAGCAGCCTCCAGAGCCAGCCGTACAGGAATTGCCGGATGCCGGGGGTGTGCCGGCACAGGACGGGCTGCAGCAGTTCTTTGATGATATCATGGGGGGCCACATGAGGCCTGCCATGACTGACACAGAGCTGGAGACAAAGGTGGCCGAGCTGTTTGTGCGTAACAGAACTAAACCGCCTGAGCCAAACCTGCTCCCCACGGACAGCAGTAGCAAGACTAAGTACTTAATCTTCACCACAGGATGCCTCACCTACTCTCCACACCAAATAGGTAAGGCTGGGGCTGAGCCCAGGGCAGTTGGCCAGCCGGGGGGCATGGGCTGCAGCTGGGCTCTGGATTTGGGTCTGGAAAAGACCTGGTCTCTCTGCTGCCTGTTTGTGAGGCATGAGCTGCAGTTTGCTCAAGGTTCTGAAGGGGGTTCCACCTCACAAGCACTTGCCTGAGGGTTGTTTTGTTGCTGTCAGGATGACACGTGGCCAAAGTCATGTTGAGGGCTGAGCAGAAGATTAAGAAGGAGCTTGTGGTTTAAGGACACCAGCCACTAGCTGGTGCAGGGGGAGGGTGGCGCTTGCCCTGGGAGAGGTGTGTGGAGGGACCTTGGTCCTGTTCTCATGTGGGGGTGGAGAGGGCATCAAGGGAAGACTGGTCTGAGCAGCGTGGAGTTCTTGTGCATGTTGCTTGTGCAGTGCCCCCAGCTCTGGGTGTCAGTGCCCTGCCTGCCCCTGCCCCTTGCCTGCCTCCCCTCTGCCCGGTGTGGAACCACCCTCACATGGGCTTTCAGCCTCAGTGAGGCACTTGGGCACCCTTGCCCTGGGACTAGGTGGGGTTTCACAGGGGGTTATTCACTGTCCCAGCCAGTGTTTTTGTGATGAGCAATGCCAGGCAGCTTGCAGCTTCCTTGCTCAATGGGGTACAACGGACTGTGGGTGCAGCATGTGTCAGGCAGTGCCATTGCTGGGGACCTTGTCCTGGGTTAAGATGTCCCTTTCTCATCTGGGGTGCTCCTGTTGAGGCACCAGGACTAGCAGAGCCTGAGTTTACAGAAAATCAGCACAGTGGGGAGCAGGAGCAGGTAGTCTGGCTGCTTTCCAAAGAGACCCTAAAGCTGGCAGAGATGTAGGAAGGACCAGAAATGTAGGGAAGGAGAGAGCTGCTCCCAGGCAAGACTCCTGCGAAACCACAGTTTTAGTTCCTTTCACTGCTTGCACAGTTCCAGTCTTGCTTCCCTGCTGCAGAGTCTCTTGACCTTCCTGTGACTTGGTCCCACACCAGCACCACCCGGTAAGGTGGGGGAAGGCAGTTTACAGAGCTGTAGACAACTTGGAGAAGAGTCACTTGGTCTTTGCCTACTTCGGTTGGGAACATGGCTTGGACTGAGTGAGCTCTGCTCCATGCTCCTGCTCCCTGGGCTGAGCTAGGGCTGCACCCAGATCCCCTGGGCTGAGCCGAGACTGCCACACACTGAGGCAGAGCCTTTGGGCTCCTGAATTCCTGTGCAGGCTCACGAATTCCCACTCAGCCTCCCAGGGCCAAGGGATTTGTTTGATACCTTTGAACTCTGTGACTCCCTGGCTGGTGGCCAGCACCCGCAGCACAGGCTGCTGCTCACAGCGCTGGACGCTGGCTCGGCTCCTGGCCTGCCATGAGTCACTGCAGTGTGCATTTGCCCCTTGGTTTGTGTGCCCTGGTGCGCCTGCTCTGTGCCCGCAGGACCTGAAGGAGCTCGCTCTGTGCTCACCTCCCATGCTGCTGCTGGCACACAGCCCTGTTCCGACCCGAGGTCCTTGAGCTCCCATTCCTTGTGCTGGTGGCAAGCTGAGCAGCTTGTCCTGCTAACTCATGTGTGTCTGAGTTTGGAACTGGGAGTGTGGTGCTGTGGAAGGGAGGATGAAGGTGCTGGTGAGCAGTGTCAGTGGGGTGGAAGAACACTGGTACTGTCCTGAAGGCCCTGGGCTGCCCAGGCTCAGAGACAGGGATGTTGGGAATGGCGTTTGACTTGAGGTACAGTGGTGTGTCACTCCTGTCTTCTTGTGCTGCAGGAGAGGGCTAAAATCAAGGGTATTGTCAGCAATTCCCTCAGAGGGCTGATAAGATGGGCCAAGCCATCTTCTAGCTCCTCCTGGACCTGCTGAGGATGAAGGCTGTGTGTGCCCAGGAGCTGCTGAGGCTCACAAGGGTCCTCCAGGAAGCTGTTGGAGATGGTTTGTGTTTGGGACTTCTGGCAAACAGAGCTGGAAAGGGACTGGGTTTGACCCATCTCATGTGTCTCCTTTAGTCAGGAAGTTCAGAAGCCACAAAGCACTTGAACACAGTTTGGGTTTAAGCATCTGTTCTTGGAGCTTTCTGGGACTGACTTGCGCTTGGCAGCATTAGGAGAAAACTCTGCCCCAGCCAGTGCATATGCTGGGCTTCTCCAGGCCAGATACTGCAGGAATGGGCCTGACCTGGGGATTTATTTAGGAGAAAAACCTTTCTGCAACAACTGTGTCTCCTGGGCCAGCGCAGCTTCCTTGTGCTTTGGAGCTGGGCTGGGGTGAGGTGTGGCTGTACCCACAGGTGCTGGGTATCTCCCTGTCTGGGGTTGGATGTGCCAGTGTGTCACTCACAGGTGGAGTCCTGACCCAAAGCCCACTTGGAGAGCTGAAGGAGCCTGACCAGGACAGCAGCCCTGTCCCAGTCCTCAGCCAGCGAGCTGGTTTTCCCTTCTTAGCAGCACCAAGGGAAGTCCCTTCCTGAAGCCTGGGGACTCCCCCAGCCCTGCTGCCTGCTGGCAGTGGCCTGTGGAACCACCTCCCTCTGCTCTCTGTCCCACAGGGATTAAAAGGATCCTGCCCCATCAGATGACAACCGCTGGGCCGGTGCTGGGGGAGGAGAGGCGCTCGGATGAGTTCTTTGACTCCCTGGATCACGTCATTGACATCCATGGGCACATCATCGGCATGGGCCTGTCCCCTGACCACCGGTAAGTGTGCAGGGCTTCAACCGCTGCCAGGGTGGGCAAGAGGTGCTCCTGCGCTCTGTGGGGTGACCAGGAGAAGAAATGACTGTGGTGGATGGAACAGGTGCCTGCTGATCCTGGCGCTGAAGGCGTGTTGTTACCACTGAGCATCACTGCTGGTTGCAGCAGGAATGTATTCCTGAGCCAGCTCAGGACAGGGTCAGGCCTTGTAAGAGGGGAGGAGCTGCCCACACAAATGTGTCTTATTCCTGAGGCAGATCGTCTGTAGAATCCTTGGATAGTTTGGGTTGGAAGGGAGCTTAAAAGCCATCTAGACCCCACCCTTTTGGCATGGGCAGGGACACCTTCCACTACACCAGGTTGCTCCAAGCCTTATCTAACCTACCCTTGGACACTTCCAGGAATGGGGCAGCCACAGCTTCTCTCAGCAACCTATGCCAGGGCCTCACCACAGTTTCTGGGAAGAGTTTCTTCCTAATATCCCATCTAGCCCTGCCCTCTGGCAGTTTGAAGCCCATTCCCCCATGTCCTGCCATTCGAGGCCCTTGTCCCCAGTCCCTCTCCAGCTCTCCTGGAGCCCCTTTAGGCACTGGAAGGGGCTCTGAGGTCTCCCTGGAGCCTTCTCTTCTCCAGGCTGAACACCCCCAGCTCTCCCAGCCTGTCTCCAGAGCAGAGGGGCTCCAGCCTTCAGAGCATCTCTGTGGCCTCCTGAACTTGCTCCATCAGCTGCATGCCCTTCCTTTGTTGGGGGCCCCAGAGCTGGAGGCAGCACTGCAGGTGGGGTCTCACCTGAGCAGAGCAAAGGGGCAGAATCCCCCCCCCATACTTGCCCACAAGATACCCCCATCCATCCTTAAAGATAGGTTTAATGGGATTAGAGAGACATGACCTGACCCCTAGAGCCACCTCCCAGGTGTCGTTGTCCTTTCCAAACATGGCTAGGAGCGTTTCAGCGCCTGTTCCCCTGTTTCAGCCTGGATTTCAGCAAGCTGGACTGCAGGCTCTGCCTGCCGTGCCAGGGGCTCTGTGAGCTCTGTGGCGCGGTGCAGGTGACTCCTCCCTGCCCTCCCCAAGGTACCTGTACGTGAACAGCCGGGCCTGGCCGCGGGACTGCGTCATCTCTGACCCGATGCAGCCTCCTCCCATCGCCGAGGAGATCGACCTGCACGTGTTCGACCTGAAGACGATGAAGGAGGTGAAGCGAGCCCTGCGTGCGCACCGGGCCTACACACCCAACGAGGAGTGCTTCTTCATCTTCCTGGACGTCAGCAGGGACTTTGTGGCAAGGTGTGTGGCAAGTGGGTAGGCAGGATCCTGACCCTGCATCCTCAAGGGCCTGAGGCCATTGTTGCAGGACAGCTGGAGTGAGCAGGACACTCCTGTGTGTTGGGAGCAGGGCAGGGAATGGAGTTGGATAGAGCAGAGGGACTGAATTGGAGGATGCTGATAAAGGCTGTCTGCCCTGCTCCTGCTGTAAATCTCTGGGGAAAGGGTAAATCTGGGGTTGTGGTGTGTTTGGTGGTGGGTGGCAAATGCCCTTCTCAGGGCCTGCAGGTGTTGTGGGGGCCCTGGATCCCGGAGGGAGCTGCCTGTGCAGGGTGAAGCTCTGGAGGCGGGGGCTGGAGCACCCTCTGCCCCCATCCCCACGGCAGGATGGGAGTGGCAGTGGCAGAGTGTTGGGGCTGCCGGGCTGACGCTCTGACCAGTGTGACGCCCTGACTGGTGTCTCTCTGCCACAGCGGGGCAGAGGATCGACATGGCTACATCTGGGACCGGCACTACAACATCTGCCTGGCCAAGCTGCAGCATGACAACGTGGTGAACTCGGTGGCATTCAGCCCGGTGGAGCAGGAGCTGCTGCTGACAGCCAGCGATGACACCACCATCAAGGTGTGGCGGTCCCCGCGGGCTGTGCGCATCCGGCAGGCCAGGAGACCCCGTCCCAGGAAACTGCTCTTCTCCTGGCTCATGAACCAGAAAAGCTGAACCCAGGTACACCTGCTCCTGCAGCTTCCTCACTGCAGCACCTCCTCTGGAGCTCTCAGAGCCCTGAGCCCTGCACAGAGATGAGCTCTGGGCACACAAATCCCATGGCTGAGCCAGGAGGAGCCCCAGCAGCGGGAATTGCCTCCTCCTTGGAGCGTCTGCTTCAAAGACAGGACATAAGAGGCGAGGGGCCTATTCTGGGCCCACCGGGCAGCAGCTGAGCTGGTCACTGCAAGGTGTGCTCCCCACAGCTTCTCACCAGCGCTGCTGCTTGGGCACAGTTCTCTGGGTGAGCTCTGGGCTTGGAGGACACTGAGGCATGTCCAGCGTGGGTCTGTGTGAGGTTGGGATGTGGCTGGCCCTGCCAGGAGCCGCCGGCTGCAGAGCACTTGGCAGGAGCTGTGGTGCAGCTGCACTGCCTGACTTTAACATAGGTGTTTTATTGTGTGTTTGTCCAAAACCTCCATGGGCAACTCATCTGACTGCTGAGGAATGTTGAGGGCCTCCTCCCCATGGTGCCTCTTCCTGGGAGGTGGCAGGAACTGGGGGGCAGTGAGAGGACGGAGGGGAGGCAGGGCTGGGGGCCTGGCTGGCCTCCACTGCCTGTTGATGCCTCGTTGGGAACTGCGTGTTTATATTGCCAGTTTCGAAACTCGGGAGCGGGGAGGGCTGGTGGTAACATGGTGCTGGCTTTGCCTCTGTCTTCCTCTGCTGAGTAGCACTTCACTAAGCTATGGATCAAGAACGTATTTATTGTGAGGGATCTGCTGTCCCATTCTGGGGCACCCGTGAGGATGGCTGGTGGGGCTTGTCACCTCCCTCCCATGCTACCCAAGTTATGGCACTTTAGCTTCTCTTGGTAAGTTCTCTGTGAATAGGTGTAGGCACCCACAGGTGCTGCAGGTATTCATTCACCTGCAGGTGATGGGGATGGAGTCCTCCTGCCTGCAGTGACAGCTGAATAAGCTCCCTGTCCCTGGGGCTGACCCGCTGTGGGTGGGGGCTCAGCTCCCCCAGGATCCTGAGGTTGGTGGGGCTGGTGACTTTGAGTGATTATGGACTCAGTGGTGTTCACTGTCTGTCCCTGAAGCTTCTCTACCCATAGCAGGTACCCAAATGTCAGAGTCTGAAATGAAGCTCCTAATCTTGACCTGGCCTAGCCAGAGCTCCCAGGAGCTGCTGTCACTCCTGAGAGTGGGGCTGTGAAGAAGCTGCAGCCCAGGCAAGGGGAGGTGTTTCAGGGCCCCCCTTGGGAGCCCCCAGCACAGCCTGGGGTTACAGATAGACCTGACAGAGGTGGCAGCTCCTGTCATGATGGCACTGATGGCTTTAGCAGTCCCTGCAGCAGGAGGGTCGGCAGCCACATTCTGCTGTGCCCCAGCTTCTTCCAAAACCCCTGTACTCAGGTTTTCTGTCATGAATCAAGGGGTTCCTTCCTCTGTGTGTGTGTGTGTGTGTGTGCACGCACAGGCTCCACATCCTGCTCTGTGCAGTCACACAGTGAAGGAACGGCCTTTACCTTCTCCTCTCCCAACTGTGAACTCTCCACCCATGGCTTGGTGCAGCAGCGAGTGAGGCACCAAGGGGTTGTTTGTACTGAGTTTTGCTCTTCACTCTGGCATTGAATAAATACTCTGCTAAAGCATCTCTGCAATGTGAGCTTGTTTTTTGGAGTGCTGCTCTGCTGAGGCAGAACTGAGGCCAGGACTGTCACAGGGCTGGGCTCGGGCACTGCAGGAACTGCTGCCCAGCTTGTGGTTACCTGCCCTGGGTGAGGAAGTGTGGGCAGAGAGCTGTGAGAGGCAGGGAATTGCCCAAATCTCCTCTGCCCTCAGGGAGGAGGATGGAACAGCCCAGGGGAAGGGCAGCAGCAGTCCCTGGCAGCCTTGGGAATGGTCTTCTCTGTCAGGGCTGAGCATTGCAGGCTCCAGAACAGGCCAGGGGATGGATTCCTCCTGGATTTACATTTTTTTCCAAGCACTAACAGGCATGGAGCAGGTAAGCGGAGAGCCCTGTTATTGCTGGTTGGCATTCCTGTGCCACAGCAGCATCCTGAGCTGCAATGCCACTGACCCCTCACAGCCCTTTGCTTATTCCTGGTGCAGCAGTAGCCACTCTGAAATGGAGCTGGGGGTTCCCAGGAGGGGACAGACCCCCATGGGTGTCCCTTCTGTTTGTCTCTTCTACACAGAGTGAGTAGAGGCCACCAGGCTGCTGCTCCCCACACAGGTTTAGTCCCAGGGCAGGTGCTGCAGCTCGGGATGGGCAGGAACAGACATCTGTACTCCCAACAGCAGCGAGGGAAAAGCAGCCTGTCCCAGAGGAGCTCAGAGCTGTTATAACCCAGGAGTGCTGGATTTGCCTTTCCAGTGGTTCTGCTCTGCTAACACTGAGCCAGCACCACTGCACCGGCTCTTTGGCCCAGTGGAGCTCCAGCTGCAAGATTCCAGCTCCTTCCCTTCCTGCTCCAGCCCCCCTGGTGCTGGGCAGCTGCCCCAGGCTGCAGGGAGGCAGGAGCTGGGGAGAGCCCACAGCACAGAAGTCCCCCCACCGTGAGTCAATCTTGCCCCAGCGTCCCGCAGTTCATACACAAAATGCTGTTCAAACAGGTTTTATTAGTAAAATACTACATTCTCAAGGAAAAAAAAACAAACAACTTAGTTCACAGTGCCAGGCTGAGATGGTGTGGTCAAAAGAGAAAAAAAAGGGAAAAAACCCCTCAAAAATCCAGCGGTGGCTTGTGCCCAGTGTCCACGTGATGGCCAGGCTGGCAGAGCTGAGCCCAGGAAGGGGCTGGACCCCTGCCTGCAGCACATGGACACAATTCCCACTGCCAGCTCAAGAGCTGGTAAAACCCAAAAAAGGCCCAGACAGCATCTACAGCACGAGAGCTGCAGCCTCATCCTTCTCATCCTTGCACAGCCAGGAAAAGCTCCAGGAAGGGGCTGGCAGGCCATGTCCCCTCCACCAGTAGCAACCCCCTGGCCCCACCATGGCTGGAATGGCTCAGCCTGAGCTTTGCTCACAACACGGACTCTCCCACCCACCTTCCAGGCATGTGCTGGGACAGGAGGGGACCATCTCCCACCTTGAAAGCCACCCAGACTCCCCCAGCTGAGCCAGTGTCTCCACAGCCACTCCTGGCACTACCTGGCTGGAGCCCCCAGCCCTGCTGCAGGCAGCACCTCAAGAGCAAAGACATTCACATCAACTCAGAACAAGCACACCCCCCCCCCAACACACTTTATTCACAACCACTCAGTGAGAAGAGCTGACCTTCCTCTCCCTTCCCAGGCTTTTCTCAGCCTCCCTAGAGAGCTGCAGTGGGTGGGAGCAGGACTTCTGCTAGGCTGGATTTTCCTCCTAAGGCACAGGGTGAAAGCAGCAGCACAGGGCTTGATATGTCCCGTGGGACTTGCACAAAGGAAGGGTCCTGCCTCCTCCCCCTGCCATTTCTGTCCCGCACAGGCTCCTGTCCCCCTTCTCCTGCCCCCTGCACACACAGGTGTGACAAGTTCTACACAAAGACTCCAAAGAGGGCTCAAAGGTAGGGAGAGCCTCTGGCCAGCACAGCAGCCATGGCTGTGGGAGGTTCAGATCAGCCTGGAGGACACTGGGCACCACCAAGCTCCCTGGGCAGCAGCAGGGACACTCAAACAGCCCCAGGGGCAGGTCAGGACAGTGCCAGTGTGGGGGCACAGCCAGACCCTACAGGGATCCCCGTCAGGTCACAGCCCCTCACCTAATGGTGTCCTGGGCCCTGCCAGGGTGGCTGTGCCAGAGCCAAGGTGGGAACACACCACAAGCAGGGTGGACTCTGCAGCCATGAGGCCAGGGCTGGGCACCTGGCAGGAGCTGCTGGCGGCAGGGGGCCTTTGGGAATTCCTCCCCTGCAGCCTCGCAGCCCGAAGGCCCAGCATAGCTGCCACTCCCTTTCAGGGCAATCCAGGCAGCCATGGAGGAGGATGGCCACGCTCCAGCCTTGCTGCCCACAGGAGCCAGCCAGGGCCCCTGATCACTGACTCCAGGGGTGTTCACAGCCGGTTCCTGCCACCAACAAAACATCTCCTGGGGTACTGACAGAGGTGCCAGAAGCACAGGCAGAGAAGGCAACAAAGCCTCAAGTCCACCCTGGCTCAGGAACCCACAACAGTTTCAGAAGGACCAGCTGGCACCACACAGGGATGTGGCAGCTGGCTCTTCCCCACAAACACTGAGAGAGATATTTTCTCATGGGTGTTGAACATGTGCTGCCCAGAGGGAAGGAGCCCAGGGACAGAAAGGGGACAGCACACTTCACTGAGGGACTTCTCCAGCCCCCAGGTCCTACCCAGGTGGCTGCAGGCTCAAAGGGGGCTGAGCAGAGGAAGAGCTCTAGAGTGCTGTGACCAGGAACCAGCTGGCCCACGACTCCCAAGCCCAGCGATGGGCAGGGACAGCTGCTGCTGCTGGCTGCAGGCCCCAGGGGAGGGCAGGGACTGGCTAGCACTGCCCACTGCATGGGCAGACAGGAGACGTGCCCCATCCATCATTGCCACAGCCAGAGGTGACAGTGCCCAGACAGACAGACGCAGCAGCACAGGCACAGACAGACGTGGAGTTTGGCAGTGGCAAGAGCCCTGGGAAGGCTGGTGCAGCTGCCTCACGATGGGAGGGAAGCCAGCACAGAGCATCTGCCTATGAGCAAAGACAACTCCCAGCCTGGTCCCCACCCTGCCCAGTGCTGCCCAGAGGGTGGCAGGATCTGGGGCTCTCAGGGTACACACTGAGCCCTGTGTCAGGCTCCTCTGCTGGCACAGGATGAACGGTCTCCAGGGTAGATTCACTTATCTTTCCCTATGGGCATCCCTGGTGTTATTCCAGGCTCCCTTCTGGGCAGCAACACCTCCTGCCCCATTCCACACTCCCAGCACTCACCAACCATCCCACTCCCAGCAAGGGCTGGATTCAGGGTTCCCCTGCCCCGCAGCTCCGCACCCCCTGAAGACACCAACTGCATCAACCCAGCATCAAACCAGTCCGTGTCTCTCTTGCACCGCGACTGCCACACACCCTCCCTGTCCCCCATAGCGTGGAGCACCCAGCAGCACACAACTTACAGGAACATGGAGATCTTGGAAGGAAGTCCTAGATGGCCAAGTCAAAATCCACAGGAGGTGCAGCTTGGGCAGGGCAAACTGTTGTTTTACTACAGAGCACCGTGGATGCGCACTAAACTGGTAGAGCAAGAGCTGCATTGGTTTCCACTGGGAGCCCAGAGAGCAGGAGCCCAAGTCCCTGCAGGAAATCTTCCATATCCCACAGCCTGCCAATGTCCACCCAAACCTCTCCTCAGGAAGAGGGTTCCGATCAGACACCTTGTTTCCATTCAGAGTGAAGGTCCCTTTTTGGGAAGGGCTTTTCCCTTCCACTCCGTGCCCCCTCCTTGCTCTGAGACCTGCCTGAAGTGCAGCACAAGCGGGGGATGCCCCGGGCAGGGCTGGCTCCACGCTCACTGCTCCAAGGTGAGGAGGGTTAGAGGCCTGTGAGATCCACGATGGCTTTAATAAAGATGGCGTCATCACGCACGTAGGAGTTCTTGGCTTCCATGACGGAGACGGGGCAGAAGAGGGGGCAGCCACTGGCGATGTTCATCTCCGTGACAGGGCGCTGGAAGGAGGAGGACGTCACGTCGGGGCGGAAGGCATCAATGATGTGCTCCCGGTTGTTCTGGTCCAGGAGCATCAGGGTGACCTGCGGGGGAAGGTGAAAACACAAGGGAGTGGCTGAGTAACAGGCACATGGAAGCCCAGCCCAGTGACCCGCTGTAACAGATGCAGGTACCAGCAGCCACAGCCACCCCGTGCAACTGCAGAGAAATGCCTCCGAGTGGGGCCAGCAGAGAATGTCACCTCAGTGACATCCTGCAGAAACCATCCCACATCCTGCCTATCACTGCAAACTTCCCTGTGGCAGCACAGGGCTGTCGGACTGACTGAATCCTACACCTTGCTCACAACACCAACACTGCACTCAGGTATTTCCCTGAGCTGCTTTCCCCTGCGAAAGGCAGTGTTCCCTCTCTGCATCTATGCATGTCTGCTCAGCCTCCACGTGTTCCCCAAACCTCCAGGGCCCAGGAGCTGGGATCTGAGCTCCCAACACCAAGCTCTGAGGCCACCACAAACTTCCCTTGCCTTCAACCCCTGCAGATGCTCTGTGGGGTCCTGAACAACCCATGTCACCCCCTTGCCCCACAGCACACCTGGTGCTCTCAGCACACCTGGGGAATCCCCAGGGCAGCCAAGACAGAGTCCTTTCTCCTCCTTGCCAAGTGGGCCAGAGTGAGAGTGATGAGAAGCTTGAGCGGATGCCAAACCAGAGAGGCCCATGGCTCGGCACAGCAGGCTCTGTCCCAGACCCACCTTCTGGTTGAAGGGCCACCGCAGTAGCGCGTCATTGGGTCCCTTCATCACCACAAAAAACAAGGACAGGTGGGTCCCACGCCCGGTGCCATCCCCGTTCAAGTACACACGGAGACACATCTTGTAGCCATACTTGCTGGTGTAGAAAGCTGTCAGAGAGGTGCAGAAGAGGAAGAGTGAGGGTCCAACCCAGCATAGTCTGGCACCAGAAGATCTCTCTGAAATTTGAGGGCTCTGAAGT